CCGGACGGCGGGGGCAGTCCGTGTGCCATTAGGGCGGCACGTGCATTTCCGCCGCGGCAGCAATTGGCGGCAGCTTCTATGTTCAGCTGCCCGCAGCGGCAATTCAGCACGCTGCTTGGGGCGGCAAAAACAGTAGAGCTGGCCCTGGTTAGCTGGTTTCACTGTTCACTTTCTTTCTTAGGTAACTCTGTGTGACATATGTTTATATATGTAACAAATCTAACTGCTTCACAGTGATGCTCTTTTTGTGTATTAATTTCTTGGTTTGTTCTACTAAATGGTTAAGTGGAGATGGGTCATGGTGACTGAGGGTGGATGTGTGTGGGATTAGAAATGCAACCAGTTGGAGATTTTGTGTGAGATGCTGTGTATGAACCCTTTGCTATTGTAAGATAGAATCTGTCAGAAAAGTGTAGCTCCTGACACTTGTGTTTGTGGTTTTTTTTGCCCAGTCAGTCAGGTTTAGGTGCACAATCCATATGTTTTCAATGATAATATGAATAATAGCTAGAACTGATCCTACATCCAATTTTTTAAATTGCCCGCTACACCAGTACTACTCCCAATTCACACGTCTACAAATTTTTGTGTAGATAATGTTTTTAAAATAAATCTTTCAGCATTGAAAAGTAGGACCGACATGGAAATATTTCAGCCAGATCCCAAATTCAAAGACTTCCTATTAAAAATGTATGAAGAGAAAGCAAACAAAAATTACACAGAAAATTCAAAGGGCATAAAACTACCTCATGTGAAATTTCACACCAGTTGGCCATCTGCTTTTAGAGAAAAGCAGGAATTCAATCCCAATTTTAAGATGATTTTAGGATACAATCCTGACTATTAAGTTGTTCCCAGGCACCTCCATAATTCTCAGAGTTTTCTGAGTGGAGGGTGTCCAACTAATGAGAAGTAGGATATTTTGAAGTTTATATACCTCATCAGTAGGGCCCTACCAAGTTCATGGCCCATTTTGGTCAATTTCACGGTCATAGGATTTTAAAAATAATAATTTTTGTGATTTCAGCTATTTAAATCTGAAATTTCATTGTGTTGTAATTGTAGGGGTCTTGACACAAAAAGGCGTTGTGGGGGGTCACAAGGTTATTGTAGGGGGATTGCAGTACTGCTACCCTTACTTATGCGCTGCTGCTGGCGGTGGCGCTGCCTTCAGAGTTGGGCAGCTGGAGAGCAGCTGGGCCCTCAGTCAGCAGCCACCACTCTCCAGTCATCCAGCTCCGAAGGCAGCAGCGCAGAAGTAAGGGTGGCATTGTATGGTATTGTCACTCTTCTGTGCTACTGCTGGCAGGGTACTGCCTTCAGAGCTGGACGCCTGACCAACAGTCGCCACTCTCTGGCCGCCCAACTTGAAAGTAGAGCAGAAGTAAGGGTCGCAATACTGCGACCCCCCCACCCCCACAAATAGCTTTGTGGCCTCCCTGCAACTCCCTTTTGGGTCAGGACCACCAATTTGAGAAATGCTGGTCTTGCCCATGAAATCTGTATAATATAGGGTAAAAAAGCACACAAAAGACCAGTTTTCATGGTCAGAGACCAGATTTCATAGTTCATGAGGTGTTTTTCGTGGCCATGAATTTGTTAGGGCCCTTCTCATCAGCTCTGACTGTCTCTGAAAATGTGTTTATTATCTTTAACTTTGTGTAGAAAAAAGGTTGAGAGGTATCTGATTTAAGAACAATGGGAACTGAAGTCATCTCTCCCCAGAAACTGTAGAGATTTCCTCAGATTGTCCAATCAAGTTCCATCCCCATCTTCTTTTGGAGGGATCAGCCCTTGCAGTGTCAAAGGATAAAGTACCTATAGGTGTATATTCAGTCCTTGGCTTTACAGTTCATAGAAATGCAGAAGTTAGAAAAGAAAAAGACTCCTACATGATCTGTTCAAGGTCCAATTATTGAGAAAGTCGTGGCAAGTCAGTTTTAGCAGCTGAACTCCACCAGTATTCTTGGCCTACCCAAATCAGACTTCATATGATGTGGAAATCATGCTGCTCATTAAACTAGACTGTTTCATCTAGACAATGGACAAATATCCATTCTAATATTGTTAAATCTATAAAAAGCCTTAGATAAAGTTTGTCACAGTACACTACAGGCCCATTGGTGTGTGGGGTTGAGCTTGCTTTGTTTCCTTTTTGGCTAGATTCCCACAGAGTTGTGATAGCATCTATCTGTTCACACTTGCAGTCCCATGAGAGTTGAACTTATTCCTCTAGTTTTCAGCATCTATATTAGACCCCTTAGGGAAATCATGAATTTAAATACCATCAATATGTCATGACACCCAGTTTTTATTTTATTCTCTGACGGAGATAACAATGTCACCATGACACTCAATGAATCTGTGTATGAAAAATAGCTGACCCAATCTTTTATCCAAGAAAGGCAGAGATTATGCTGATTGCAAGAGGGAAGTACTTAGAAGAAGTGGCAGAAACAACGATGGCTTCTCTAGCAAGGGTATCTGGCTTCTCATTTTTTAGATGTTTGTGCAGTCTTAGTTCTGCTAAACTCACTGGTGTGCCCGTACAAGTGATGAGAAATGCTTTTTTACATCTTTAGTTAGCTAGGAGACTGCAGTTCTTCCTCTTGGATGAAGACATAGTTAGTTTTCCTAGTCTCTGTCATCTCTGTACTGGACTACTTCAATTCTTTCTACATGATGCTGAATGACGAGGCCACACAAAAGCTCAGACTTGTCCCGCTTGCTGTAGCTTCTTCCTGAGTTGGGTAAATCAAGAAGAGCTCATCATATTGGTACACTGGACTCTATATGTGCTTCCCAACCAACATCAAATGCACATCAGAGTCCTGGGCCTTGCTTTCAGTAATCTCCGTCTTCCTCCCATTAGACACTACCTTTCCTTTCGCAATCCACTGAGAATGCTTAAGTCATTTGGGGACATTCTGTCTGACAGAGCCCAGGGATAAACTTTCATTTGTCAGGACAGGACATTTCCTCAGCTGAAGATGAGGATGTAAGTTCCAGTGATGGAAATCCTTTACAAAGAGATGTATTCTTAATAGGGAGGAATGTAAAGTGTGTCTGATTCTTCCTTAGTCTCTCCCTAGACTTCCCCAACACATAAACACACCTAGGATGACCTTTAAAAACATAAAAGTTCTATCCAAGGAGGTACAGTGAAGATGTTCCATACTGTGACTGCCACGCTGAATCTCTTAAATCATGTATTCAGCATCTATGTATGATGGTGATGGTGCTCAAGATATATCCAAATTTATCAAGGCAATTTGCTTACCAATGCAGGCAAGTTTCCTGAAGTACATCTTGTTGTATAATGTCCAGTTTAATTTCAAATGTCTCAAGTTGTGGTCTTTCACCACATTCCATGGGACATTATTTCACAGTCTTATGTAGCTCAGTCTGGAAGCTTTTTCTTGTAGGCCGCATGTTCCATTTTTAATATTATCTCCTATTTATATCTCTTTGTACCACAGTAAATATATCTTATTTATATTTGATGCAGTGTGGTCTGGTGGATAGGGCACTGAAATGGAATTCAGAAAACCTGAGTTCTATCCCCATGCTCTGTCACTGACCTACTGCATGACCTTGAGCAAGTCACTTGACTTCTCTGCTTCTGTTTCCCCATCTACTCTTTGTCTTGTCTATTTGGATTGTAAACTCTGTGAGGCAAGGACTGTCTCTTGTAGCCTTCTCTATTGATTATGTTTTAGTTATATTGATTACCTAAAAATTCCCAATTAACAATCTGAGATTTGGTAGGGTCTAGTCCTAAAATCAGGCCCAGTGTTACTAGAATTACTAATAAGTTGGGAACCCCAATGTGCACAGTGGCAACACTCAAACTTAGGAAAAACCTTCTGACTTTGCAATAGTTCTGTTAACACAATTATTAA